GAGCGCAGCCTCCGCCATTTCCACCGTAACGCTTCCTCCTTTCCCCTAAACGAAGCGCTTTTATTCCCGCCCACCCCAATTCTCATTCGGAACAATTCCTCCCCCTCCCACAAAAATTACTGCCCCACAAGCACCCACCCACTCCCGCCTTAAGGCTTCCCGTCCAGAAAAATCGCGCCACTTCCCCCCCCCTCCAACCCCCAAAAAAACCCCGCAGCGATGAACTCACGTCTCCGGCCCTGCCGTTGGCGCAGCGGTAGCTCAGCACTCCCTCCCGGTAGCTGTGATCTGCCCGATGACGCAGCCCCACCCGTATTTATACGATTTTTAACCAGCTAGGCCCCACCCCCGTACGCCGCAATGTCCATCCGCCTCCCAAAGTAGTGCCAAGTAAAAAAGCACCGCTGTACAAAATACTCACCTTTTTCCCTCTTCAGTCTCCTTTCAGGGGAAAAAGATGTCCTGGAGTCTTAGTGTGGGGCCTCAGAGCCTTAAAAATATTTCAGTTTCTGGGGGAGCGGATGGATCTGGCGGCGCGGTGAAGCGGTTGCCGGGCAGAACAGGCAGCTCGGCACTGATTGGTGCAGCGTTCAGAAGATCGGGTGCTGATTGGTTGATCCGGGGGGGCGGCTGTGAGGAAAGCTCTGGAAAATTCGGAGGCTGCTCGGCGCTGATTGGTGCGCGGTGAGGTCAGCGCTGTTGCTAGGGGGGAGCGGCCTCGCGGAGGCAGACTTCGGTGGGGTGGGGCTGCGCGCATGCGCGTGAGCGCTGCCGCACTGCCCGGCGCGGCGCGGTCGGGAGGGGAGGGCGCCATGGAGGCGGGCAGCGGCCCGTTATTGAACCCCCGTCTCATCCCCAGGCAGTGCTGAGGGGAATGTGCCCCAGGGAAAGAGGGGTTACCCCTAGCGCCAGCTTTTTGCTGATTCACACAGACACCGGCACATCCGACCGATCCCCTTCCCCGGGAGGGCCTGAGGCGTTCATGGCAGAGCCTGTAATAGTCCGTAGGGTTAGTCCTGTCTGTGGCTGCGAGGAGAAGCCGGGGAGAGCAGAAGCGAGGCAGCAAAGCTGGAAAAACTTGTTAGAAATTTGGCAAGTGTTGGTGGCCCTGGTGCGTCAGGCTCGCTGCAGGTGAGCGTGCCCCTCGTCATGTGGCCCATTTCCTGAGCAGCCCTTTGAATCCATTTCAGCTGGCTGACAGCTTAATTCGTTAATGTGAGGTTGCAAAACAGCCCCTTTGATGAAGTGCTGACATTTGAAATTCAAATGGCTGTTTACTTGCCTTCAGAACAGAAAGCTTTGATCCGGTTATGGAGAACTTCCTTCCGTGACCTGATGTGGAGATGTGTTTCGTGTTAATTAAGCTTCATTATACCTTTCAGACTGGTTCTTAACTCATATCTGGAGTACACAAAATCCCAAAAAGTTTTTATGTGGTAGTGTTTTATCAGCTGCTGGCTCTTTCAGGGAAGCCAGATAAACTTGTTGTTAAACCCTCCACTCACAGAGCATGGGCACACGTGGAAATGGCAAGATTCAGTATGGAGCTACTCTATTTCCCTCTAAACAAACCCCAACAAACCCACCAAAAAAACGCATAAAAACAAAACCCTTTTGCTTTCCTTTCCCCTAACAGGGCTTGTGTCTGCTAGCACCTCCTGGTTTACAGTAAAAAGAAATCATCCAACAGTAATTATTCACAATGTAAAAACAGGAAGAGAGAAAATCTGTGACTGGAAAGTTCAGAGACAGCTCCATGGCAATAACCAATCTTGGTAATACTACTCAGTGACATAAATCCAGGACAAAGGGCAGATTTAGGCAATATCACATTTGTTTTCTTTATGCTGTCGGTTTTGCTCAGTGTTTCCAGTAGGTTCGTTTTGTTTGCGTGGTGCCAGGGTGACTAAATGTTTGCTCCAAGGTGGGCCTGTGTGTGCTGTACATCCCAGGCATTGCTCCAGGAACTGTGTCCCTCAGCCAAACAACATCACGGAGTCCTGAGAGGAAGGCCATGAGTAACTAATATTTACAAACGTGAAAGGCCACATCTGTTAAACTGGAGATTAACCACAGGATAATCTAAAGACTGGACTGTGTTTGAGCGCTTCAGATTTGTATTAAGGCTTTTAGTGTGCATGTCTTTGGTTTTTAATGTCTGTCAAGATGGAGAAGGAGAAATTTCTGTCATCATTTTTCCTTTCTGTGTAAACCAGAAAACACAGGAGCCCTCCCTCCCTTATTTTTTTCTAAGTATGGTTAAATCCTATGACTAATCTGCTTTCATTATTTTTGCTTGGTTTCTGTTTAAGTATTTCAATCAACAGATCAGAATAATGTCCCAACAAGATCCCTCTACGGTGAAGTAGTTCTTTAAATACCTTGTTACTAATGGCTCCTGAAAAATTCATTCTTCAGGGAAATGATGTTACCCAAAGCAAGCACAGGCAGCAACATGCTGATATCAAATGCAGACTCGATTTTAAAAACAATTATGGATTAAATTAATCAATTCCATGCAAAACACCTCACTGTATTCCTCAGTTATCCCTTTGTCAAAAGAGAAAAACAAAAGAGTCAGGCTTTGTGCACACAAGTCCAGGGCCTAGCAGAATTAAACTAATCTCCATCGCCTGCAGGCAAGGTACTCTGCACAGGCCACCATTAGCATTTTGCAGGCTACACTGACTGGATTAATTTAATTCTCCTAACTATTAATCTGCAGTAGCAGAGCCACCTCTTTTGTTTGGGGGGGGGAGTGGGCTGAATACAGAGAGCTTCTTAAATACCTCATTTCCTGTGCCTTGGCTTTTTCTGTGTGGTACACACTTCATATCTACATAGGTTCTTTATACTACTTCAATGATAATCATTATCAAGTTGAATGGTACTTCTTTTTAAAGTCAGAATGCAGTGTTTATATATTGTGAGCCAGATTCTGCCTCATTTTCACACATTACATGTACAGAACAGTCTCCCAAGCTGGAGGTTATGGCTTTGTGATGCCATTTTACTGAATTTCAGCTTTACCTCAGAATTTCTTTAGAAGATATTTTACTACCTGAATTTGATACAGACAAAGGAGATCTGTTTATTCTTAAATGTGTGGTAGCTGTTGTGGTTGGACAAAGTATATATATTTAACATGTATGCCTCCCTTCCTCCGGTAGCTCTTGGTGAATAAGTATCATCAAGCAGCTGACTGACCTGTATATAAATAAATGCAAAGCTGAAAAACCCAGAAATCTACGTCTTGTGACTGGCCTGACTGCACAGGTGGTTCCAGCTTTTGCCAGGGCACGGGGCCTGCAGTTGGGAACATGTTTGTTCTTTCCAAGTGGTTGCAAAAGTAGGTCACTGGGCAGTAGTACAAAGCAACCTACTTTCAGAAGAGAAGAATCTGGAGCTAAAGAAATGTTTCCAGTGAATCTGTACATTCTAGAACACAAGCTGTGCCTGTTTTTTATGTACACTAATGTCCTAGCAACAGCGTAATGTCAAATGATTATCTTTAGTTACAGGGTTTTAACTTGGGACAGCCAGACAGTCAGGTGATTTGAGTATGTGTAGCGAGTTTAGTACTGTTCCTTTGTTCAGATAAAAATAGGGCTACTTGCCACAGGGAAGAAACAATGTATATTCCTATCTCTAATATTATTCACACTTACCTCAGGTCTCTCTCACTGTGTATGACACAGGATAATTATATTTACCTGTTTACAGTTGTGGAGATAAATATTTTCTCCTCAAACCTGTAACACTGCAGTAAGGCCCAGCCTTTGCTGAAGTTCCAGCCACAGAACAAACAGCTGTGGCACGTTACTGCTAGTCCTTGCACTGCCAAGCTCAAGTGTTACAAAAATAGTGAGTCACAATTCAAAGTACTGTGAGATTGACTGTAATATTATGAAATTACCAAAAAAAAGACAATAATCTTATGCTAAAAATACCTTAAACAAACAAAGCTTTTAGTAAGCTACCAACTTCAGGAGCTGAAAGCTTAAGAAAAACAAATAGATACCCAGATTTGTAGTAAAAAGAGGAAAGTGAGCAATACTCCGTCTCCCTGTTTGTTCAAAGTATATTTTGACTTTGCAGGACACGTGGGATACAGCTTTAAAATCTGTCCTGCCACAATAAACAGGCTTGGGCAGGTATTTCTCTGTAGGTCTAAATGACCCAGAGGAACATGTGGCAATTCACCGTGCGTCTGATGTAAGGAGACTTCTAAAGGGCACTTTATAAAGATGCCATCAGCCTAAAATCACAGGTTTGTGTCTGTTATGCCAGTGAAAGCAACAATTAATAACTAGGTCTAGTCTAAAAATTACTTGTCTGCATCTTTTCAGTCTGCCTCCTGCCTGTGTGTCTTTTGGATCTGATCCAAGCTGCACTGCAGTGAAGGAGCTCTCTTTGTTCACATTCTCTCTGCTGCGTCTAAGCCGATTTAGCATGTGGTTTCTGGGGTGAGGTTTTTCAGCAGGATAGCAGAGAAGTACCTTGGAAGACAGAAAGACAGATGAAATAAGTCCTACAATGCTGTTCAGCATTATTAATATGTTTCAATAGAACCCGTCTAACAGTGAACAAAGCCAAGTACTCTCAAGGCTATTCTGACGGCCTTCACCCACTGGCCCAGAGGTGATACCTCCCGCCTTTTGTTTTCAGATCCAGCTTGGATCCCTGCATGGTGAGGAGAATATCCAGGATGCTCCCCCCTTCACAACAGCAAGACTAAAATCCAAGCACTGACATTTTCCTCCCCTGCATAAACAATGTAGTTTTAACTACCTCAGCACTTTTAAGCATGGTGTTACCTATACACTACTTCTAGTTCCTTGCTTATTAGATAAAAAGCAGCCACAGTTCCTAATTCTCTTTAATCCACAAACATGTAGCTGCTTTCATTGCTGCTTTTGCGATGAAAATTCCCTCACAGACAGAATCTCAATGTGGGCTGCAAGCCAGGTCTGCAGAGCTGAGTCACTGTTACACAAGCAGAGCTGAGATGGCACAGAAAAACACCTTTGTACTTTAACATTAAAACATGTCAGCTGTTGAACTTCGAATATCACAAGACACCTAAAGAGAGCAAACAGTGATTTAATGGACTTTTTCTCTCGTCCATCCCATCATCTTTCTGAATAATTCTTCCTTCTCCATTTTGTCTCAGGAATTTAAGAGCAAAAGCATTCTTCATCAAGCTGTTGGCTTCTACCAAGGCTTGGCAAACATTGCATTAGATTTGGAAGTAATGTACCAGTGAAAGCCGTTAACTCTTTGGGCACTGGGAAACCCCTGCCACCCAGGTACACTGACAATACAGTACACAACCACTGAAACTTAGGGCTTGCAAATCAGACTATCAGGAAAATTTACCATCAGCCAGAGATCCACTATAAAGCTCCCGAATTGATTATTTATGCGAGACCCAGTTTTGAGCTTTAAGAGTCCTTTGTAATAAAACGTGAAACCAATGAAAAAGGAGGAAGAATTTCTTTACTATAGCCTTCTGAAAGAAAACTGCGTTTTGTTCTTCCATTGTTGTCTTCCAGTTCTTTATCCTGAAACGTCACAGGGGAACAGCATTCAGCTTCTCTAAATGCTTTCTAAAGTTAAAATATGCTGAACTAATCGTGGAGGGGCACAGAGAGGAGGAGGTCATTTGTGTGAACTTATTGCTAACAAGCTCCTAAAATACGTTCTGGCTTTTCAGTTCAGTGCAGTTAACTGTTTTTAGAAAAGGACAGACCATGGAGGCTGAAACCTGTGACTGCTGCTGGCCGTACCCCGCACAGAAGGCAAATAAATCTGAGCTGCAAAACGCTCAGGCTCAGTTTCAGTTCGTGATCTCCAGTTTCACCTCAGTGACTTTTCCTCCCAGAATATAAGGTGACTAACATGAAATCTAGTGTGACTAAAGGTACAGGAGTGGCTCAGATCAGGAGCTACAGATGAACATGCTGGCGTGGGCCAGAATTTGTCACATACGGTGTATAAAAATGGTTCCATTAGGATGAGTAACCAGTACAGAGGTTCCCATGAGGAATAACAGGAAACTGTAACTCAGTGCCCTTTCCTATCATCAGAGAAGAGAGGTGCTGAGCCACGGGATTGTTATGCAAGTCCTGGTATGTGCCGTCTCAGGAGGCAGCCCACATACTGTAGCTGCATGTTTTTAAAGCTGTTTTCCAGACCAGAGAGTGCTGATAGCTGTTTCATCATTGTCCAGTTGCTTTGCTATATTCCTGGC